TTTCTAAACAACACAGTTATCATTTATCGGAAGAATACATATAAATTATTCTATGAATTTTGTGAGGAATTATGAATCCACTTTTACAGTTTGTAGATTAATATTAATATTCTTGTGACTTGAACTTAATGTCTTGATTTTAGAATTCATATTCATATTATGTTGTATGTTTCTAAACTCTTAGTATTGTATAAGGCTTCAACCTACACTTAAATAAAATCTCCATTCTATCAATGAATATTTTGTATTCACTGGACCTAGTATGTGAGTTAAATATACATTACATACTGTATAAATGTCTAAACTAAAATCAGTGATCCAAGTGAGTAAACAGCTCTGTATCTATATGGTATCTTCTCTATTATATTCAATTTCTAAAGAAATGAGTCAATTAGTAGACACCCCAAGTGGAAATTTAGTGCTGCCTCCTATAAACCAGTGTTGAACTATCTGATGCCCATCGGTTAGATGCTAGACTGGAATGCAAAGGGTATAAGCAACCATTGGGTTTCATGCATTAAATCTGAGATATAAAACAAGATAACAAGATAAAATTGAAAAGTCCAATGGAGAACATCAAAATCGAAACAACTGAAATGCATACAGGTGGGGAACCCTTGCGCATTGTTGAGAAAGGCTATCCGAAGATTGAAGGGTCTACAATTCTGGAAAAGCGTCGATATGCAAAAGAAAAGTTGGATCATATTCGACGCTTTTTGATGTTCGAACCAAGAGGGCATTATGATATGTATGGAGCCATACTCGTGGAACCTGACGTACCCGAAGCTGATATTGCAGTTTTGTTTATGCACAACGAGGGATATAGCACGATGTGTGGACACGCTGTGATAGCCCTCGGGCGCTATGCAGTTGATAAGAAAATGGTAATATCGACACCCCCTGAAACTGCTGTCAATATCCAGTGCCCTTGTGGACTCGTTAGCGTTATGGTACATCAAGATGGCAGTGTTAGGTTTAGAAGCGTTTCAGCATTCTTATTCAAGAAAGGTTGGTGCTCGAAAATATCGATTTGGAACCCTGGGAGCCAACCCTCCTTGGCTCACGGCGACACGTGCCCGAGCTTATCCACGTGATCATGTTCGGCGCATTGATTGGCTAACGTTTCAACTTATGAACATAATTGTAAGCATTATTAGTGATTTCTGATATGGATATTAATTTTTTGTGGTTGCTATCGACTTGTTTTAAATATACACGTGGATTTATGTATTTCTATGGCATAAAAAGAGAGATTACCGAGAGGTTGCGAAATAAATACACAAATTGAGCAACCGGAAGCAGAAGCACTGGTGGTTCAATGGTAGAATGCTCGCCTGCCACGCGGGCGATCCGGGTTCGATTCCCGGCCAGTGCATCCTCTTTTCTTTTAACATAACAAAATGAATTTTTGTAGAATCCTTTTCTTCTTTTTTTGTTAAATTTTTAATGTTTTTAACAAAAACAAAACTAAAAGAACACTTAAGTTTAGCATACTAAGCTTAGATATTAATTTTCTTTATCCTACCACTGCACATGGCATGAACAGGGGTTTTATAGAACTTGGCATTCACATCTCAAGCTGCTATTTGTTGTTTGTTATAGATGTTGAAATTGATGTAGTGGGCTATGGCAAGAAAAAAGTGGACATCAGTTATGGTGGAGCATTCTATGCATTTATTGATGCCAGTGAATTTGGCCATTGTGTCAAAACATCCAGAAACAGAGACCTTGTTGACATAGCAGATGCTGTATCAGGTAAGGCTTTATGTATATTTTTGGTATTCATTTTAGTGACAATGCAAAATAATATAAAACACCATACCTTTACATATTACTAGTTCTTAGGGAAGGGTTTGTTCAGACATCTTTCAGAACAAATGTTCATGGATATTAGTCCCTGAAAAAAAGTATTTTGTTCCTTGCCAACGAAAATGTTATTGCTTATAATCATGCATTATCTATTGCATGTTTTTTGTGTAATGTTGTCGGAATCCATGCCAACAATTTGACATTGCAAAAATGTTTGCAAGTTGCGTTATATTTTCAAAACCTTGGCCATGTGTTCTGTTAACTGCATACAATTTAAAACATTTTATTTTACTGTATATTGAATCTGTAATGTGTATTAATTTTATATGACATATCTATGTATTGTAGATGCTGTAAAGGACCAAGTTACACTATCTTTGTATTGTAGATGCTGTAAAGGACCAAGTTACACTATCTATGTATTGTAGATGCTGTAAAGGACCAAGTTACACTATCTATGTATTGTAGATGCTGTAAAGGACCAAGTTACACTATCTATGTATTGTAGATGCCGTAAAGGACCAAGTTAAACTATTTATGTATTGTAGATGCTGTAAAGGACCCAAGTTACACTATCTATGTATTGTAGATGCCGTAAAGGACCAAGTTAAACTATCTATGTATTGTAGATGCTGTAAAGGACCAAGTTACACTGAGTCATCCAGACAGTCCTGACCTGGCATACCTATATGGGACCATTTTGACAGATGGAAAGGACCTTTACTCTGATACACCTACAGCCAATATCTGTGTGTTCGCAGACAGACAGGTAGGGCCTTAAAGAAGAATTTCTTAATAAACTTTTTGGATTTGTTGTCATTGAAACTAATACTTATAATAACGTTGTTTTTTACTTTTTTTATTTATTTATAGCACTGTCATACAACTTACTATAAATGGAATTGGATAAAAATCGCGAACTTGAGTAGGCCCGTAAAACCAATCCATAAATAATTTGGTTTTAGAATGCTGATCATCTAAATCTATTGCAATAGGCTAACAGGCTAAGCAAATCATGGAATGAATTTAATACTAAGATCATTAATGGTACCAAATTAACAGGAATAAATTGAGAAATCACAAGTGCATAAAAAATGAAGATCTTACAGTCAATTTCTTTTCTATTTATCAGGTTGACAGATGCCCTACAGGGTCAGGGGTCACTGCCAGGATAGCGCTGCAATATGCCAAGAACTTGATTCAACTCAACCAAACCAGGACTTTTGAGAGTGGGGTCAATGGTTCAACATTCTCTGGCAAGGCTGTGGAAGTGACAAAATGTGGCCAGTTTGATGGTGTCAGGGTGGAGGTAGCAGGGAAGGGCCATTATAGCGGAACAGCAAGTTTTGTACTTGAGGCAGATGATCCAATTTCATATGGATTCTTAGTGAAATAACTTTCAACATAACACTTCTTTTACAAGACAGTTATGCATCCAACTATACTTTGTGTCTGAAATTTTGCGCACAAACCACACAATTGTGTGCATTTTTACAACTGCCAGATTTCTACTAGACTAATCCAGTGAACCATGCATTCCTTTGGCTATGATGTCATTCTAATAGTGTCAGGACAGAATTATTTCATATGTATTCTGCAAAAGGATCAATATTTAATGGAAATGTACAATATAGAGGTTATTTAATGGGAGGTTTTTGATACAGGGTATATCTGAGGGAAATACCATATATCATACCCGTAAATATATATTGTATATTGTCGTAGATCTGATGAGCGGGTGATATCAGCGGGGTGATATATATATTTATCCCACAATTAATGTGTTATCTGTACAATAACAGCTATTGATATTTCTGATATTATTGAAATCCATGTGATATTTTCCAGAAATCGTTTATCAAACTCATATGCGTGTGATATCGTTTATCTCACGCATATCCGTGTGATATCACATTTGCATTTCGCGCCACAATATTGTTGGAAATAGGTCAGATGATTTATTCTCTTAAGAGAGAATAGGTCCGTTAATTTATTCTTTTTAAGTTTCATTGGTGTATTGAATTACGATTGTGTATATAATTTGATTAGAAGGCTGTTAACTAACGATTAAAAATGGTATTTATGACGAACTATTCAAATATTCAATTGATATTCTAATTTCTAGTTTATATTGTCCTGGAAATTGGATCAGAACATCACAAGGTGATTGTAATCATGGGATAAACCTAATATCACATAATTTCTCGTGATATCATTTTAATATCGCCTCTTAGGGACTACTAAACTATAATATGGTCTCTACTAGGCAGAGTGTAGTTTAACTAGACTCTCCACGCAGGGTAACATACAGAAATATGAAATCTAATTCTAGATTCAAGCTATGTGCCTACATACAGACATATGAAATCTAATTCTAGATTCAAGCTATGTGCCTACATATGAAATCTAATTCTAGATTCAAGCTATGTGCCTACATATGAAATCTAATTCTAGATTCAAGCTATGTGCCTACATATGAAATCTAATTCTAGATTCAATCTATGTGCCTACATATGAAATCTAATTCTAGATTGAATCTATGTGCCTACATATGAAATCTAATTCTAGATTCACGCTATGTGCCTACATATGAGATCTAATTCTAGATTCAAGCTATGTGCCTACATATGAAATCTAATTCTAGATTCACGCTATGTGCCTACATATGAAATCTAATTCTAGATTCACGCTATGTGCCTACATATGAAATTTAATTCTAGATTCACGCTATGTGCCTACATATGAAATCTAATTCTAGATTCAAGCTATGTGCCGACATATGAAATGAAAAGAGTGTGAAGTCCAGGTGACTCCTCAAGGTTTGATGCTCTTCATCATGTGTGCGAATATACAATTTTTACAATCAGTTTTTCTTGTTGCACAATATTCTAACATGATAGGCCTATTAACAAGAATAATTGATTTATTGGTCAAGATTGGGGTAGCTAGGCTATGACAAGCACATTATAGACCAGTAAATGAAACATCTTATATGATGGCACACTTTTATCATAATAGAATTGTAACAAAAACCTCACTTTATTGTTTACGGCAATTGCAATTCTGGCCATTACAAAATAAAAGACCTCTATCACTCTTATACAATAAATCATAGTCTCTATCCTTACTCCTTAAATATTGCATACAACTCCACTCAGATATATCAAATAAAAAATACACAATGTGCCGTTTCATTGTCAATCCCATATATATTTTTATTATATCACATTTACATATACATGTACTGGTATTCAAGCAGAATTTCACATTTAGATCAAGTAAATCACAGATCTCTAACCAATGATCCCACCCAATTAGACTGTTTATTAGTATGTTTACATCCACAATGAATTATGACCCTATTGTATTGACCTCATCCCGACTTTACTCCAATATAAAGGAACTTAATAATATGTAGAGCTATCATTAGGCCAACAAAAGAAGTTATTTCATTACTCTATATATCATGTATATCTTTCTCTCATATCGTAGTAGTTGAAATAAGTGGGGTGTTCATGTTTAGTGCTTGATACAACATTTTCATATATGTGCTGAACCCTTCATTGTATACTGCATCAACATGCACTCTTATGATATTGAATAACAGAATGTTTGCCAAATATATTTGAATCATACATGTACAGGTTCATATTCATTTTCACAAAATGGGAAACAAGAAAATTGGAATTATATCACCTCTCCATGAGGCACTTATGTAAAGACTAATAATCGCCATCTATAAATAAAAATCCTGTAGAATATTCCATACACTGTAAACTTTGCGCTTAGTTCAAATGGAAACCTTTCTGTAATGTAGCTGCTAAAATCCTCTCTCTCATCACATCAACACTTGAGTAATCGGGCAGTTTGAGATAATGTACACAGGTGTTCACTGAGGGGTAACTCCCGTCCCCGCCAGATTTATGAACGATTGTCAAACGAGGGTATAGATTTGCAAGGCCCCCTGGTGGCAAAGATGAGCAGCCTGTGGTAAATTGTAGGAAAAGTTTGCGTTCGTCACCTGTCATTGTTGTGAGCACTTCTATAAGCTTCTGGAATCCACCACTGAAAATGTGAACAGAATTAAATATTAATTATCAGTATGTGAAGTTATCTGTCACAAATCAAAGTCACAATAACTCATGACTATATCAATGTTGCCATTCCTTTGATTTATGAGAGAATGATCCTACCTTTCACGTGTATAGCCAAGCTTTGGTTCAGTGTAGTTGAGAATGTCCTCCCTGGACCAAGATGGTGCCTGGTCTCCACATAGAATTTGCTGAAGCTCAGATGGACTGAAGGCATGTAGTTTCTCCATGGGGAAAACACGATTAAAGCCAGCTGTAAATAAAGCAAATAATGGTTGTACATCCTGAGTATTTTCTCCATTCAAGGTAAATTCTTAATTTTATCTATCCTTGTATAATAAATATTCAAATATGTTCACAATATCCCACATTTTCTCACTATTACACAATCTGAATGGTTGTTACGACGATTCATTTCAACACTGGAGTCGAAAATGCATTTCCTTTGGAATTCTAAGTTCACATAATACTATTTTGTAAAATAAAAGTAAAACTTCTTTTCCCAAAAACTGATTGGAAAAACCAACAGGCTACTCCCTCATTAAATTACCTGCATTAACATTATAACCATAGACGAGCAAATGGTATACCTTTAAATGCCTCCATCTGTCTACGAATGCCTACATTGAGACAAAAATCTGTCATCAACTCTACATATTCTTCCACATTCTCAACAGTCACCTCCTACAGAGAAACAGATATAAATCATGAAAATATGCAATATACCCTGATCTATAATGGTTAAGCTATACTGCCCCTCTGACTCTAACATATGAATGCTGATGCAATCTTAAGATCTCAAATGTGAAAATGATACGCTTTTATGAGAACTCATCTTGTGTCATGTCAATAGGATATATTAACATGCACTTAGACCAAATAATCCTTAATTGTATTGTTATTTATTTACCTCTAATTAATAGAGAATTACAATAGTTTAAATACATTAAAGTGGAATATAAATGCAAACAATCATAATTTAAAACATGTTGAAGAAGTGAATAAATGAAATAAGAAATCTATAGTTAATAGACACCGCTATAGTAGTGATCAAGACCATCTTCCCCAAGGTTGATAGCTCGCTCAAAACACTAAGAGAAATGAGAAACATACCTCATCTTCCCCATTGAGTTTCAGATCAACTGCTGTGAATCTATATACTTTAGATGAAGGATTGTATTGGAACGTCAGGCTGAAACACACAAAACAAGGAAAAAATAAACTTTCTGGAACTTATAATTGCAGTGATATCATACTATAGCATTTGAATAGGCTTAGAAAATTAAGACAAGGCAAATCTTAAAATGTTGAGATTATCCAGATTTTTGAATTTTCAAAAATTTAGTCTTTTATAACACATTATGACAGAAGCATGGGATCAACTGCTATCTCAACTATAAACTACTCATAGTGAAATTTCAACTTTATATGTAAGAGCCTTGATTGAACATACTTCATATGCATGAGTACTGTACTACTGTACAAAAAGAGTGAAACAAACAATGAGACAAACTGTTTTATTAGGACTTCACCAAACATATAATTTTAAAATACCTGAGGTCTTCTAGTTTGACTGGAGCTATCTGACCACCTGGTGTTTCAATAGCGAGGTCCTGTAGTAGACTATTCCTCTCCTGTTCACCTATAGTCTCATCCTCCAAGATCCTCTTCTTCCTGTTGCCAAGGTCCCTCAGTTGTCCAATGAACTTAGCCCTGTGGGGGTTAATCACCTCAAAGTCTGCATCAGTGAGCATGCCGCTGAACCAGGCAGGTAGGGCAGAGGAGCTTGGTTTGGGAGGATCGTATATCAACTCTTTATCCTCATCCTCATAAGCTATGACATCACTCCTGGTTGATGATGTCATAATGTCAATGACGGAACCCTCAGAGTTCTGTCTCATAAGTTCGTTATACTGCATGGATATATTGCTACCGACCTCTCCCATGCACATTAGCTTGAGGAAGGGTCTGGATAATGGGAGGTCAACTAGGCGGCTGTCTTGTATACATTTGGCTAGGAATATTCCTAAGAAGAAATAAAGCCTTTCAATGCGCTCTATGTCATCTGAATCTTGGGGTATTGGGGCAGGGAACAGACCACAACTTCTTTGCACATAATAGCCCGGTCCTTTGACACCATGGCCTATATCAATCTGGAAGGCAAAACACAAACTTAAAATTAAGGTTCTGATAATTTCAAATAATCATTCATACAGTTCATATTCATATAATATAAAGGCATAGAAACAGAATTTATTTTTTATTTTAAATATTTAAACAATTAGTGGCACATTTATTTTTATATCAAGCTATCATAAATGTTTATCAAATGAAAACTTTCCATTTTGAAGATTTATTTTAAGAACACTAATATTCAGAGAGAAACTGAAAATATTTTAGGCCAACAACTTCATCTATATGGTATGAAGTCAATATTCACTTTACAACATCTAGGTGCATTAAACTTTAATCTTAAGACAATTCAATTTCAAGAGATTATTCTGATAATATGAAGAGAATATTCTGCTGATATGAAATAAATTGGATATCTGTTAACCTGTCTTTCTAGGTCATCAACTACATCATCATCACACAGCCAGATGCCAAGGGATTTCTTCTGTAGCTCAGCTGCTATGAGTGCATAGAACTCAAGTGTTGGCCCCAGACCAGTCCCCTCCTCACCCTTGAACTCAATCTGCAATGGAATACATTATTATAAGCCTGTTACTACAACAAGACATTAACCTGCAAAATGTCACCACCTGCCATTTGTTACTAATGCCAAATATTGAACACCAACTGATATTCACAAAAAATTGGAGACTATAAAGTGACTAAGGCAGTTGTCTCAGTTAGATGTCATTTTACATCTAAAAAGCAAGGAAGCACATGTTTAAAATTTGTCATTTAAAAATAATCTAAGCCATTGTTGTGTTGCATGATGTTTGTGAAAATATTGACACAATTGTTACAGCATACAATAAGAGGTATTTGTCAGCTGTTCACTTTTAGGAGAGTCCTATATATAAGGTGCAGTGACCTTTTAACACTATTATCATTAAAAAAAAGAAAGTGAAAAATTAACATTTTCTACCTCTAGAATAGATTTCCTGTCTGCGTGATATTTCATGAGTTGCATAGCCCAGTCTAGAATCTCGTCCCCACGTGGAACTGTCACACGCTCGTGCTTCAAACGACCAATACGATACTCATGGCTGTCATGGTCACGTCGTGGAGAAGGTCCTCTATTACGATCCATCACTGCATCCCGCTTATTTTGTAGCCAAACAATAGCCCTGGAAGATAAGAAATAGCTTTAATTTTTAATACTGAAACCAAAATACAGCCCATAATTTCCAAGAATATCTGTGTTCTAACAATAAAAAAAGACCATAAAAATTAAACACATCCTTGTTGTTACTACGGTTACTGACCTTGAGGCCCCAAATGCTGTGCAAGCAAAGTACAACTGTCTGGTGTCAAAGGGGAAGAGCATGGGACACCATTTTGTGAGTCTTTCACACCAATCTGGTAGGGCATGACTGGTAAGCACTATAGGGTCCTGGATCTGCTGACACAGCTTATTGTTGATCTTCTTACTGGTGAACTCATCTGCTGGAACATTCAGCTGTAGAGCCTCAGGGTCTGAAACATTGAAAGTGTTGTCTGCTAATCTGTTGCATTATGGGAACTTTTTTCTCCTCACTGATAAATCATCCACACGAACATTTCTCAATCTAACTATTGAAAAGCATCTGAACCATCAACTGCGGACTAAAATGAATTATATGTATTCTTTTCAGTTCTCTTACTCATGAACTCAAGGAGTCCCAATTAGTTACCATGTACATACATATGTGTCTACATATAAATATTACTGAAAATAAATATCTTGGGAATTTGAATGAATACTGAGAAGTCAATGCAAGATTTATTATAACAACTAAACTAGCAAATACATCTATTTTCTGAAACAATCTATAAAATATCATCAAGGTTGACCTACCTGAAGTGTTACTGCTACTAGTATCCATGGAGATAGCGTAAAGCAGCTGTATCAACTGTAGAACATCTTCAACTGTACACTCATGATCCACAGTAGACCAGGCATCTGCCTCACTTAGCAACCGTTGCCTAGCAATACCTGTTTGACACAAATTATGTTTACTGCTGACGAAGTCCTGAAAGTGATGAAAAAAATTTATATTTACTCACAAATATGTTTTTTGTAACAAATATTGCTTCTAAAGCATCTACAAAATGAAAAGTAGTAATAAAATACTTTTCATAGATTGACTATGTACACAAATGATTCACTTGAGTGATATCTGTGGAAGACTAAAAAAAATCTTGAACTATGCTAATACATGAATAATACATGGAAAACACATAAAAATGAAGAGATATACGTACAAGAGCAATAGTGTAGATATACAAGTATGTATACAGGGTGGACCAAAAATGTGAACCCCTGCAACAGGCTATATTTTCCTTAATACAAGCATGAATTTGCTCATATTGTCACATCTTGCAGAGAAAGGTCTAAAATTTTTGTTGACACCATAATTTATTCTCAGTCTTGAATTTCGAAGAAATTTCTTGACTTAAACAAACATGCCTCAAATTAGATTTTGTGCAAAATTTTACCAATGTGATTGACAGAAATTGTTAATACACATTAGATGATCCTAAAAAAGCTTTCAGTGAGAGATTATAAGTTTAAACCCTACCATATGACAAATGGGACACTATTTGAGCAGAAAACACATATCACACTTTTATTGACCATTTTGAAGCTGTTTTAACCATTCAACAGTTTAGAGCCATGTTACCTACACAAACGGGTAGAGGGGGGCAAAGTTACCCCTTGTGACCCAAAATCTGAGAAGGCCTTCATATAAAATCTTACAAAAATCAAAAGGAAATGTATAGTACCAACAAAAATTTTAGACCTTCCTCTACAACATGTGAAACTATGAAAGGCAATAAGGGAAATATAGCCGGTTGCAAGGGTTCACTTTTTTGGACCACCCTGTATACAAGTACAAGAGTAGAGATATAAGAACAGGTTTAGAGATCTATACAAGAGTTGATATATAAGATGTATAAGGTCAAGTGTAGATACTGTATATACATGTATAAATACAAGTGTAGAGTACAAGTGGAAACATTTATATCTACAAAGGAAGATATTATTTAAATGCATCACTAGCAGCACTCATCATAACTCTATATGCACAACATGATTGTTTAAGCACTAATCACAACTCCATCTACAGACTGCATGGCTATCTGATCATAGCCCCATTTATGGACAGCATAACTATGTGCGTATTCGATATATCCCAAATGACAGAATTTAGCTGAAATAATGATTACCCAACAGCATCTGAATAGATTTTATTGCCTCATGCTGTTGAAGATGGGAGTTTGAGACTGCTGAGTGAAGATCAAATTTTGACCCAAATATCAGTTTTATGTGTTTACTCAAGTGGGTTATCTATCCTGGATATGTTGGTTTAATACGTTTATTTGCATGGTAACCATTTTAAACTAGCACCAACTGACAACATGTTGGTTGGATACTTCATAAAATAGATTATATAATATTACAACACCGTTAGTTGAGATATATTCTAGCAAATACACACTATATTAGCACTCAGCATTCACAGCATTTTCAAATGGTCAGCAAACATAATTATGATGTGAAGAAACTTAGATTGCTTCAAATAATTGAATTGTTATGATAAAAGATGTCACAATGTCAGGGTGAGTGGAGGAAAAAGTGAGTAAAGGTAATGCTAGTGAGTTGAGGTAATGATAGTGAATAGAGGCAATGTCAAGGTGAGTGGATATTATGTCAAGGTGAGTAAATGTAATGTCAGCTAGATGAGGTAATATTTGTGAGTGGAGGCAATGCCAAGGTAAATGGATTCAATTTCAAGATGAGTGGAGGCAATATCATGGTTAGTGAAGGTGGCAATATCAGGGTGAGTGGAGGCAATGTCAAGGTGAGTGGAGGCAATATCAAGGTGAGTAAATGTAATGTAAGCTAGATGAGGTAATGTTTGTGAGTGGAGGCAATGCCAAGGTAAATGGATTAAATTTCAATGTGAGTGGAGGCAATATCATGGTTAGTGGAGACGGCAATGTCAGGGTGAGTGGAGGCAATGTCAAGGTGAGTAGTGGTAATGTCAGTTAGGTTAGGTAATGTTTGTGAGTGGAGGCAATGCCAAGGTAAATGGAGGTAGTTTCAAGGTGAGTGGATGTAATGTTAAGGTGAGGTGAGGGACAATGTCAAGTTAAGTTGAGGAAATGTCAAGGTGAGTTGAGGAAATGTCTAGTAATCCAAACACTGAAATACACACAATGCAGGAGCATGCAAAATATTGCCTAGTCACATCTGAATCAAAAACTACCTCGATCAATACATTGATTAAGGTCATGAAGAATTGGTTTTCAGTTTGAAACACTAATATTAGAACTTTCCAAAGCAACTTATAAACAGTATATAACTTCCTACAACCAGGGTCTTACAAATAAAGCAGAAATTGTTAGCATACATATATCATAAAACACCACCATACACCTATAAAGCACCTACACCAGGACATAACCAGGGTCTAACCTTGTAAGCATGAATCAGCTGAGAACAATTTCGACTCTTTTTGATATTTTTGTAAGCCCCCGTTAGTTTCCATTGGCGTAAAAATGTTGAGTCTGCGTTTTGCTGCAGGTAGGAGATGAGCTCCTGTTTGGGGAGTCGGTCTGTTCCCAGGTTACCAGCCACAAAACTAACAGACCATTTACCCTAGAACAAACAAACAGTGTCAGCTCCTTGTGGCATTATGGGGCAGAGGGCACTTTGGTTTACCAGACCCCTCTCATGTGTCATAATTGTGAAAGATCGAGATCAAAGGGATGTGGTTATCCCAATGGGCAGGGTGCATTTTCAAACCTCGCTATTAGGTAAATTGAATAAAGGACCTGATACCATGGTACTTTCCCATCCATACTGAAAAATTCACCCGGCCCAAAAAAACAAATGCTGGGTTTATGGACTGGTACATAATGTTGCCCCCTGGGTAAGAGCGGGGGGACATTCGTAGCAACAGCTTTCTTTCTGAAGACATAATAGCCTTTGTTGTACATGGATGAGGAATTTTGTAATCTCAATTGGTATAGGGCTGACAAGGAAATAAAGTCTAGGCTGCTGAATTTATCTGAATGAATCTTTACCATTGTCTTATATTTCAAGGATATTTAAGACTGATATTTGATGGTATATAAAGCCATTTTAGTTTTTGCATGCTAAACAATATTTATACATTTCACAACATGTTCAATATCGAAAACACAAAATGGAATCCCATGGTAAAGGCACGATGAAAGTCAATCCATCCCAGTGGCGACCAAACCCACCCCCTTGTCAGAATGCATGGCTGCCAACATCAATGTATAGGAACAATGTATACAAATAATGTATAGGAACAACAAAATATGATCATCTCAAAAACACATTGAGCTACTAACAATGGTGATCTATCTAAGCCTGTTTCACAGAAAATGAAATACACCCCCCCCCCCTTCCCCCTTCCCGGGATATACAAAGAGCAACATAAACCAACAGACAACTAAAACAGCCAGAAAACAATTTCAAAGCTGATCTGATTAAACAAACTGAAAATTATTCAAATCATAGATATAATCTGATAAAAGGCAGTTGGGAAGTGACACTGTATGATACTAAGTGATTTACTGTTTGTTTAACATGCTCAATTGCTCATGTACTCATGTTTCGGAAAATACAGCTTTGTTCTGTTTTCCTATTCATGAACATTTTTATTTTAGATGTCCTGATATTCAGATATGACTAAAGTAGAAAACAAAATGCAGACAACATGCAAAATTATACTAATGCCACAAAATAATGCGAAATGGTATAAGTATCTATATAAAAAATATACAAAAATATAAAATCAAGTAGCTAGAAAGAAACATGCTTTAAAATTAAGAATCTAAGTATGAATACATAAATGTATTGCCAGCAGTCCTCCCTTTCAGTAAATTCCACATATAATAGAAAGGTTAAAAGTTGAAAAAGTAAACCACCACATCATATAATGCCCAAGACAACCCTGCATGCCCATAGTTCATTCCAATGCAATAATCAAACAATATTTCCATTTTCATAATTTTGGGGATTTGTAATGAGGAGAATTGCCAAGTGGTCTAAGTGACCATATATCATGTAGGAAATATTGCATGGATATTTCAGATATCCTTGTGTACCCTGGAGTTCCCAGCCAGGGGACAATTTTCAAAATGGCCCTATCGTAAAGAGATGAATCTGCAATCATTTATTCTTTCTCAGGCCAATTGCAACAAACTTGTTCTGCAGATTGTAACTGTACAATATTGAGAGAAACCCAAGGCTGGTGAGACTATTATGGTGAATAGTTCATCCTTAGAAGTTAGAAAGAAGTTTCACACTGGGATGATGTGAAATGTTAAATATTTACCTCAATTTCCATCTCCTGTCTCTCATCATCTTTCTTTTCTTTGTACAGCAGCCTGAAAATACAAATGAATCAAAATATTACTCACTGTAAGTCAGACAAAAAATTGGTTCAGTCCATCAGACTACATATAGCTACTGTGCTACTATAGCTACTATATAGTGCATGCACATTTATTTATACTAATGAAAAAATAGTAAAACCATCTTGGGAACAAGCAACATTTGTTCATCTGAAATGGGTGGATTTAACATGGGCACAATGTTCAGTGAGCTATGGGTTCACATCGCAATTCTTTATGCATAAACCATGCTTATACATATTTATTCAGACCAATTATCATTTTCATTTATCCAAAATGAAAAACTGGACTGAAGGACAGATGGACAGTGAGCCAAAATCAACATGACAAGTGGTTCATTACTCAGTTTTGACAAAGTCAATACGTACACTGTAAAATGTCAGTACAATTATAAGAGTGGACCTATGAAGAGGTTAACAACTGTGAAGGGCACCATGGCATTGTTGATTTTACATAATATATAAAGAGTGACTTACGTATAAGTTGGTTCCCAGATGCGCTTCAGTCTCTCAGCACGTCCCTGTGTAGGGCCATCACACATTAACTGTTGGACATAGCGGAATATTGTTGCATGGGGGTTGTCCAGATATATCTCACTGTCGGGAATCTGAAATGGAAATAAATTATTACAGAGTGACCAACATAATATTCTTATATTGAACATTCACTATAATTGTAAGATAATCTTATTCCAAATATGCATGCATGCATTCGAGGAAATGAATAGTAAGGAGAATGTATGTGCATTGTTTATGTGAATTGCACATGTACAGTCATGTAGGCGCATTGTATAAGTGAATTGTACATATACAGTCATGTAGGCACATTGTATAAGTGAATTGTACATGTACAGTCATGTAGGCACATTGTATATGTGAATTGTACATGTACAGTCATATAGGCACATTGTATAAGTGAATTGTACATATACAGTCATGTAGGCACATTGTATAAGTGAATTGTACATGTACAGTCATGTAGGCACATTGTATAAGTGAATTGTACATGTACAGTCATATAGGCACATTGTATAAGTGAATTGTACATGTACAGTCATGTAGGCACATTGTATATGTAAATTGTACATGTACAGTCATGTAGGCACATTGTATATGTGAATTGTACATGTACAGTCATGTAGGCACATTGTATAAGTGAATTGTACATGTACAGTCATGTAGGCACATTGTATAAGTGAATTGTACATGTACAGTCATGTAGGCACATTGTATAAGTGAATTGTACATGTACAGTCATGTAGGCACATTGTATAAGTGAATTGTACATGTACAGTCATATAGGCACATTGTATAAGTGAATTGTACATGTACAGTCATGTAGGCACATTGTATATGTGAATTGTACATGCACAGTCATGTAGGCACATTGTATATGTGAATTGTACATGTACAGTCATGTAAGCGCATTGTATAAGTGAATTGTACATGTACAGTCATGTAGGCACATTGTATATGTGAATTGTACATGTACAGTCATGTAGGCACATTGTGTATGTGAATTGTACATGTACAGTCATGTAGGCACATTGTATATGTGAATTGTACATGTACAATCATGTAGGCACATTGTATATGTGAATTGTATATGTACAGTCATGTAGGCACATTGTATATGTAAATTGTACATGTACAGTCATGTAGGCATATTGTATTTGTAAATTGTACATGTACAGTCATGTAGGCACATTGTATATGTGAATTGTACATGTACAGTCATGTAGGCACATTGTATGTGTGAATTGTACATGTACAGTCATGTAGGTGCATTGTATATGTGAATTGTACATGTACAGGCAAACAGTGCTGTCTTAACTAGTAGTCTTGCTTCAAGCCCATGTGACCTCAAGTAGATGTGGAGGTGGATTAACAAATTTAGAGACTCAATGCGTGACTACCCAACTTGAAGCTGTTCAATAATTACACAATAAGATGTACCAAACCCTCCATTCATTTACACTTATCAGTATCAAAGTATCAAATATGCAATGTTTTCTATGCCCCTTACCCCAGGTAATCCAGGTCCTTTGATGTATATTGCCAGCTTAGGTTGCTGTACTCCATCACCATCTTCTGACTTGCTTACTTCTGCTGCACCTAAATAGATATAGCACACATTAACACATACTGACCAATCAAACTTCCCTTCAATTACTGTATGTATAATACATAATTATAAGAAATATACAGTATTTATGTTTTTAATATTTTTCCAAATTTTTTTTGCAGAACATGCCAAATATACTGGTTGAAAGATGGTTTCTCTGTTTAGTGAAGATGTACACATTTTGTGCTCCCCCCTCCCAAAATGCAAAGATAAGTCATACCAGGTGGAGGTACTTCAAAGTCCTGAGTCTGGTTGACGTTAGTTCTTCCAGGACGTGGGTCAAACGCAGGGATAAGTGCAGAGAATTGACGCTTGAGGACATATTCATCATCCCAGGTACGTCTGCGACTAGATCCTCTCATGTAGTACTCTTCTTCCTCCTATGAACACACATAAGAATGTTTTTGTATTGAATATGTATGTACTCTCCCTCAAGATAAATCAAGTCTTAAAAGTTAGAGCCTCGAGTTTACTCGATTTTTGACCGCCTCATTCATAGTCTATGGATCAATAATATGACAACTGGTCTGTAATCAGAGTATGATATAAGGATTTTTTACTAATAGTCAAAGTTTAATTTTAGACCATATGTCATGTGTTATTCATGCTGATGTCACACCCTGTCCATGATTGATCAATCTCCTCCAAAAATTGCAACATCCTTCTGAAGCAATGTCTGTAATTTACTTGCTGAACATAAGTGCATAATACAATATCAGTAATCAAAAAATAGAATGCCAAATGCTAAAGATGTTGATAACTTTACCAAAGAGTCCTCATAAACATCATCTTCGTCATTGTCATCTTCATTCTCATCATCATCATCAGGATCGGGTAAATCATCATCATCTTCCAATTCAGCGAGAAGTGTTGCTCGGCAACTCTCCAGGAAGTCATTATCACTCTCTGATGATGTGGAGGTCAACGACATGGTGAGTGCGCGACTGAGAGATGTCACATGACCTGACGTCACTGCTGCTGTCAGAGTACTCGTTGGGAGGGCAGAGCTACTCGTAGTAAGGTTCGGGAAGCTTTGAGCTTCACTTAATAAATTATCTGAAACACAAATTACGAACATGAAGTTGATTGATGGTTGCGAATTCTTTCTCAAGAGATTAAATTCCTATAAAAATCGAAATAGATAAGAAAGCCTCAGAACTGCATGCAAAGTTTCCAGTGCAATTTTCCAGATCAACACTTTTAAACAGAAGCTTAAATTGTTATTTGTTTATCTGTTACAATGAACAAAAATAGTTTGGGGTGAAAAACTGTCTCTTTCTACTTACTTGCATTGGAGCTGGATGAAAGAGCCAACCTGACTAGACTACTTGTGTTTGTACTACGTGCCATGTTATTGGCGTTATTATTGCCGAGATTGTGCCGCGCAACAGCAGCAAACGACTCCAACAAGCTGACTGTATGTTCCATGCTACTGGTGAGGTTAGGCACACTGACACTCATTGGGTTGCTGGGAGTCGTCCTTGTTTGGCTCTCATTCTTTTTATTTTCATTCTTGCTGTTTTTCTTATTGCCGCCCTCGGCACCCTGTTCTGGTTGCATACCAAGTGTTTCTTTAGATTTACGATGCGACTCCTGAGCACTGAGACGTCTGAATGTTGTTGCTGGCATTGAAGGCCACTGGAAGTCACAACCTGGAAGAAAATTCACGGAATTTAATATAACATATATTTAAGGTTTGAAGTACATTTGTAAATCATCATCACTACAGAAAAAGAACTGAACAGTCTACAACAAAAGTTCATAATTCTTAGATATTAGCAGTCTGCTTTATATTCACATTCACTCACAAAATATATATGAATCCATTAAGAACCCACTGTGATTTTTGAAAATCTTTCACATACAATTCAATGGCAGTTTCACCATCTCTTTGTACATACATTGTATATTGCCCAATGAAATAAGATTAATATTACATTATTACCACTCACCTGTTACACCTGAAGCCATCATATCCATGGCGAGGAAGTCATCTTCATTACCCATCATGCCTGCTTGAGGCTGAGCCCCCTGGGTACCACCACCCTGTAAGACCATAGGGTTTCCCTCCAGGTTCAGCACCTCAGTAGCTGTAACTAGGGATGATGGGTCCATACTCGATTCAGCCTGCTGGTTGCTAGGCTCTTCTGCTGGATCCACAGTTACCATGACCACAGAGTCTGATGTTGTCAGGTTGCTAACACTCTCAGCGATACTTTCAGCAGTCTGCAATGGCAAAGTAACATATGTAGAAAGAACACAAGAACATGAGAAAATATGAACTACAGTAAAATGTATTTGTAAAATGAACAATGTACATTATACTGGCGAAGATACTATTATTTAAATAATGAAAAGACACAAAGTCAGCAAAAGACCTCTTCAAAATATTTTTAAGGCAGAAAAAATCGCAGTATCCTTCTAGAAATTGGAATTTCATGAATCACAATTCACAATGTTTCTGACAAATATTCTCTTGAGTAACATTACTTACAGATTTGACAATAGCAGTCAGGTTGTCTGCAGATGCAGCTTGCTCAGTGGCAGCTACTGTACTCTCTGGCTCAACAGCCTCACTAAGACTTGGTGTAGAACTACTTTTACGGCTGGTCAGCACACTCACCTACAAGTAATACGGCCATCATATAGGTTTTTGTTCTATCTTAAATTAATACATTAAGCATGCAAAATGTCACCTCATGCAATTTGTTATAGAAACAGACTGCTAAACTTCTGGTTGTGACATGATAAAACACACATTTGGACATGAATATTTACTAGACAAAAGATTATCCACTCTCACATGTTCATCTTAAGATTTCTTCAATATGTTTTGTTATTTTCAAAATTATGTATTGCTTTATTTTCACTTTGGCTAAGATCAATCGTCAGCAAATGTGAATAATTCGTAAATGTATATACGATATACATACATAATCTAAATGTAAATAGATCTTTGCATGGGAATTTGACTTGTAATTCACCTACTTTTGGTTTTAAGCCTTCAGCCTCTGGTTTCTTGGCTGAGGAGCTAGTTTCTACTTTAGCAGCCACATTAAGTTTGACCTTGTCAGGGTCGTGAGATGGGGCCAGTTGTAGGTCGTACTTTCCCTCTGCTCCCATGCGATATGAGTTGGAACCACCAGAGTCCCATGTGACATCTATCCAGCCTGTAATACACAAAGATGTTCATTACGTGACATATACAATGTATTCAAACTCCCGTGCAGTGATATATCACTGCGGCGGGCAGGTATCTCACCGTAAGCATGGTAACTTCGTAATAAACAACTGACGTGATTGGTTCTAGTCCCATGCTCAGGTCGCGTGATTGTAAAATTTAGACAATTTCATTGGTTGAATTGCGCGTATTAACTAATAAACAACACGTGCGGTAAACTATTATCAACAAAACTTTTACTCAGAATTCCTTCCGCGGTGATTTCTTCTCATATTTCAATAATTTTGAAATATTTTGACAAAATAATGTTTGGGGAACATTCATGAATTCATATTTTATAAGTTGTGTGAAAATTGACCACATATGCGATGAAAAGGGGAACTATTTTCCCCAGATTTTGGGGATTTGCTTCATCTGCCCGCCGCAGTGTCTATACCGAGACACTGCATTGGAGTTCGCAATGTATTTTCAAGTGTGATTTGACTATGAAGCTTTTAGTGAGTGACAACTTACACTTCCTCTGAGTGGAGGCAAGTTCCCATTGCTTTTTCACAGAAATAACTTTCCTGTAACAACTCAAAAAGGCAATAAAAATTTGCTTTCATCATGTCATACTTTCGACCAATAAAAACGGCCAATATATTTAAGGCTTTGATATTACATGTATCTTCACATGATTACACCATGGAATTACATTTACCCTCTACTATAGTTCAGAACAAAGGAGGAGAATATTACCCACCATTATGTAACTCTCCTGTGACAGTTCCCTCTCCAGTTGGACTTCCATCCTGCTCCCTCCACTTCCAGTCCATGCCCCTCACTACACGTGCCCCAGGGACCATCTGCTTCAACACCTGGGTACGCATCAATCTACGCTGACGACGTAATGTTGCTTCAGCTTCCTTGGCAGCTTTACCTAAACACAGTGAAATCAGGGAGTTAGAATTCAAAGTTCAGTGTTCTCACAAAGATTTGCCTCAATCATGTTCATCAATTCTGAGAAATGTGTAAAACTTGGTTATGATACATTGCATTTATAACTACATATTACTACATACTATAACTATACAATGAGAAGAAATCACTAGCATATGTACCTATGTCATCACAGACTCCAGTGATGGTTCCGTAGATCTCAAACCCTGACACAGATAGATAGTGTGTCTGTCCACTGGCATTTTTTCCTGTCTGGGCAAGACGGATGTGTCGCCAACCTTTTGTCTCATCCTTGGGAAACTCTAGAGGCCAAGATGCTGTCGATCTAAACAAAAGATTCCTTTTTTTATGAGTCTAATCCAGAAAACAAGTCAGTCTTAATGGTACAGAATAAATCTTTAGAGTCAAAACATCTTTTCGAATCTTAATACTTTTATCTCATAATTTTAACAAAATCATTCCAGAGACAGCAATTTAATACAAGTCCAAGATAAACATTCTGATAATATATCTAGGAACTATGATCCTATATTTAGAAATCAGAGAGAGTAAATTCTAAAAGTTAAGCATGTTACATTGCAGTGGTATACAATTTTTTAAGGCCTATTCTATATTCAAAATATTGTTCAAGTCCTCACTACCTATATCATGGTCCACTACCTAAATCATGGTCCACTATGACTACCTATACCATGGTCCACTACAAATACATTAATCATGGTCCGACTGCTTAAATCATGGTCCACTATGACTACCTATACCACTATGACTACTTACCCTGGTTCATTAAGGGAGCTGTCTTCATGATGAGCATAGAGAGTTGTCCAGTTATGGCCATCTTTAGACACCTGAAAGTGCCAGTTTCTCAGGGCTGATCTCCCGTATCCTCTTGCATGACGTAGTGTATAGCAAGTGGGCAATACCCACATACCAAGGTCTATAGCAAACCAAGCTTTCCTAAAACCAAAGCATGTACAGTTATTGGGAATCTCATCTTCAACAACAATAATTACACAAGGCATTTACATGCAAAATGTCACCACTAGCCATTTGTTACATTTGTTAAAAACACCACACTAAAAAGTAGCAACCATTTAGCAATACAGTTGTAATTTCTGGTTTCAAAAATATTTAAACAAACTCTATTGTATATTTATTGCTTACTTGTCATCGTTGGTGTGACAATTCAAAGCTGATGCGTCTCTACTGACAATGTCCTCTAGTTTTCCATATGGAAGGATTCTTCCTTCAGATGAGGTGACCACAATGAGTCCATACTGGGCAGGATTCACCCATTCTGACACAGTCCTATAACATACAGTGGAGATGATTACAAAACAAGTTATTATGATAATTCAGTCACAAGTGTTAAGTTAATTCAACCCCAAATTTTCTCTTCTTCAAGTGAAAATTAGAATGTAGAGAGGATATGACAAATATGTTTCATAAATATACAACTTCACTGAAGATTTCATCACAATTCAATAAGAAACATAAATGTACGAGTATATGTATATTTATTGAACACAATCGTATATTTTGAATATATTACAACAATATAATATCTGACATTTATGTGCGTTTGAGCGCAGTGACATAAGCTCATAAATGATTTCTTTAGGCGTTGTGTTAATGGAACATGTTTTCGAGTTGATGTTGAGTTGTTTTGCATGAGGGTATGTTGGAAAGGCGTGTAACTTCATTCTGAATTTTGCCACACACGAGACAGTTCATTTTAATTATAAATTTAGATTTGGAACATTTACATGTCTTTGATTGATCGCGTACCTTTTCCGCATTAATTTGAGGTTTTTGATAATTTGAGGCTGGGATCAATCAATTTCGATAAATGTTAATTCATATTCATTTGTTAAGTCTTAACGTTTTCATTCAGCCCTCTTTCACGCTATTAAGTAAATCATGCAATAGGTCTACGTTTACATCTTCAGTATCGTTACCTTCGTTTTGTACTTATGTGACTTGTATTTTCCATGTTCATAATACCATGCTGTACTTTTTGCAATAAACGAAAGTGGCAAGCTCACTTCCTTATAATTTGATATTATTGTTCTGTTGCATCGAACAAAGCAAAGAACATATTATATACTTTATACAATATATATAGACTTATTTCATATTGAACTGTCAGTCATTTATGATGTAAATGAATAAAAAATGTAAAACGAGCTACTTACTTCCCATTTGTGCCTGCCCAGTAGATAATTCCATTGTTATCAAAGTCCCTCTGGTGGGTGAATGTAAATGTTGCATTGGGTTCCTTCAACTTCTTCACAAAGTTGTATGTACTTCTTTCATAGTCGTACCATTGCTTGGCAACCTTAGGACAACAAACATCATGTTTAGTTCTGGAAATCTGTGTTCAGAATTTCAAATACTGAATTATAAAAATTAAAAGATAAAAGATATAAAGATTAAAGATGTACACAATATCAGTTTAATCACATGAACTAAACTTTGCATACCATTTTTAATAGATATTTCTCTAGCTGGGACACACTGGTTAATGGCTCAGCTTTCATGTTGCGCCCAGTACGGTCAATGAGTCCAGTCTCTCCCGGGGCACGTTCTAGCCTCAGTCTGAGTCTGCGTGTGAGGATCTGGAGGCCATAGCCAGCACTTGGGGAGTCATAATTGTATACGGGCAGCTTCTCTATGGACTCCAATACTGCTACCAATTTACGCACAAGGGCTACAGCTGGTGAGATGCACCTTAAATATGGTTAGAGCACATCTCAAATATTGTATTGTACATTGAAAAGCTATGTATAGACTGTGATCGTCACATCTTGTATTGTACATTGAAAAGCTATGTAAAGACTGTGATAGTCACCTATTGTATTGTACATTGAAAAGCTATGTATAGACTTTGACAGAAAATTGACTTGATATTGGATTCAATGTTACAGTCAAACAGTACTGATGCCATATTATATATTAGGATAATTGAAAAGAAATTACAACATCTTTTCACGGTAAACTAGTAGACTATAGGTGGCTTATACATGATATATACAGAGTCAGCTCAGGTGATATTACACATTGGTTCCAGTTCTAGTAAATAACATTAAGTAAGAACCAAGCACTTTGCTGAAAAATATCAGGTTTAATGTGTTTGTTCATAGTATTACATATGGACGTCATACCCATCTTCGGATTCCCGGAAGGCACTCTTGAATATATTGATCCTACGTAAGGTCTGTTTTCTACTGTTGATATCATGACTGCTTTGGTTGAGATTCTACAAAACATACAATAGATGGATCAATGAAAATGGATCGTATGTAAGGTCATTCAACCATTTATACTCAAAATATAAGTGTTTGCCTATCATAGTACTTACTTATTTGAACTATTCATTAAATACTTTAAGCTGATGTGAAAGAGTCCCCTATGAACTTGAACCCAGTATACTTGAACTGCTGGTCAAATGAGTTCACTGAGTTAAATTGAACCAACTGGCTATTAGTTCTTTGAAACATAGGATAATTTCCTATGCTAAGGGCTGATGTGAAAAAGTCAGTCCACCTCGGTGGAAATTGAACCCACAACCTACCGATTAGATCTCGGATGCCTACCCTCGGATGAATTAACTGGCTATTCAATAATATGTCAGTAATGTACCTTAAATACCCTTTCAACATCACCATGCACATCAATTTTCATATCAATAAATTAGCAATGAATCTGGAGTACATACATTGTTAAGGCAGTTATAGACAGCCTGAACCAGGCCACTGCTGTGAAGTTCAAATGCTGATATAGTATGATCATCTCCCAGGAGCTGTTTCAGGTCTCCAAATGCTGTTGACATATCTTGTTTCCAATCTCCTTCAGAGTCAAGCACCTAGCAAAAAATCAAAATGGAACCACTTAGGAACACATAATGACTATTTAATACGAAGTAGAAACAAAGTACAGGTACGCAATCATTATTAATTGAAGGTAAGAAATGCATGTGTTCACTTTTACTCCTGCAATATGTTTGCTCATATTTTTGGAATTTTTAGTTTTTAAATATGCAAAAATAGAACTGTTACAGAATATGCAAAAACACATAATACATGTATCATAGAAGACTCACCGTTCCATCTGATTGTTTCTTACATGCCACATCCAGAAGATGTACAATACTGCAAAGTTTGGCCACCACACCTCTGGGTGTAGCCTGAGCCACCTTAAAGTGATCATCATAGATCTCACGTGCTAATGTTTTCACTTTCTGCTTCGTAGC